CCAAGTGAAAGGAGAAAGCTAAATCAACAAGCAAAAGTAAAAAAATAACTTCAAAATACAAAGTCAACTCAAAAGTCAAATATTCAAGTCAAACAAGGAACAAGAAAACTCAAAACTTGAAGACAAATGAAGAGACATGAAGACTCAGTACTAAACAGTTTATTATGCTATTACAGAGTCGAGAGAGTTTAGAGGTTTGAGTTTATAGAGCTAATTCTCAAATATGCATTATAGAAGCCATAAACTCATGCATAAAATGAACCATACATACATGATACATTTATACATGACTCACACACAAGGAAAACTGTTATTCAATGCTAGAAGCATTCGTACATGTGTGAGAAGTGAGTAGAAAATCACTTAGAATGCATTAAGATCAAAAATCTAGTTGTTGTCTGGAAATATCCGGATATAAATAATTGAATATCTGGATATCATCCCAATAAATATCCGGATATTGACATTGCCACGTGAGTTACTTAAAATCTGAGGGTGTAACAATTATATTTGGGTTTCTTACCTTTTATACACCTATATAAATGATCAATGAACGTTTACATTAAACAATTAACACAAAAACTCATAAGAATTCAAAATTGAGAGATTATTCACCATACTGGCTATATTTTGACATCTTGGAGAAAAAGTTCTATATCTCTTCGTTTCTTAATTTTTTTCTGATATTGTTTTTTACATTGAACAATGAGAGATTGCTCCATTGTTGTTTGAACGAATTGGACTATTGTGAACAGTTCTTGATAGTTTTGAGAGAGCCTATAGGAGTTAGGTTGAGTGCGATCAAAGGTATTGATTATAGACTTGTAAAAACTTTTTCTAAAACGATTTTTCTAGCACTGGTTGAAAGCTAGAATATAGTGGAATCGACAACATTAATTTGGACGTAGCTCTTAAGTGGGTAGAGAGTGAACCAAGATAAATCTTGGTGTGATTCTTCCTTTTCCTTCATCTTTTTCAATACCGCTGCATAAACCCTGTTATTGAAAGACATTTGGTATGTTTTAATTCATTTTTTATATAAGGAAATGTTTGATTTCTGTTCTAGTTCGTTTTGGTTGATTTTCTTGATAAAAGGGTTGTTTTTTATTGATTTCTTGCAAAACAAGTTCCTGCCAATTCACCCGCCTCTCTTGTGCTTCTGTATTAGACATCTTTTCTTTACAATATTAATGTTGTAGGTACATAATCTATGTAAGTCAATAAGTAACAGATCACTCAAATATTTTAAAAGAAAACAAACCATTTGTGGGTGAGAGTGAAAAAAAGAAAGACATCAATTGATAAGAACAAATCAATTTTTTTTAATGAACCAGGTCGGGTCACCAGTTTTCACAAAAATCAGCAAGATCGCACCGGTTTCATTACATGGCCGATCCAATATAAAAATTAGACCGGTTATATGACCGATTTATCAATTTCCGGGTCAATCCAGTTTTTATAACATTGTTCTCGTAAACTTCCCTTTGTGAATGATTTATTTTAGTACCGTTTCCCTCATTGTTATATGTAAGCAAGATTTTTAATTTGAAAAAACCTAGGAGATATTTTAAGTTAGACTAATTTTATTTGATTGTCAACTTAACCTAATTACAAGAATTCTTTTAGTTTAATTTTTTTTAACCCCTTTGTTATAGCTAGTTTGCGATTTTAATCTCCCAATAATTTTTTCTCAAATTTCTACCTTAATTTTTTAAATTGTTACAATCAAGTATTTTTTCTTGTTTCCTTAAGCATAAATTTAGGGACGGTAATTCAAATTGACACCATACTACACGAATTTAATACAAATATGAATACACTCAACCTGTACACGACACAAATTTGGAAACAGATTAAAACCTTAACATGAATACAACACAAATACGACCTACTTATTTTACATGTTGACACAACATGACATAAATAACTTGCAATATCAAAATGTATCACTTATTAGAAAGACATAAATTACTTGTACATGACACGATACAACACAAATAATCCGTAAGATTAATATTGGTCAATTTCATATTTGCAGATTGACACTCAATACCACACATTTTTTCATGTTAGATTTTGCTAAAACAAATACGAACATGAATTTGAAAATGTATCGATTTGAACATAAATTTTTCATGTTGTGCTCGTTTCACGTTAACGGGTTGTGTTAAAAATTGTCAGCTCTACTTAAAACAAAAACAGTCAAACATTTATTTTCTAGTTAAATAATCAGGATTGAAAATGGATTTGAAATAGAAAGTGATTCAAACTGTTTAAATTCTATAGAAATTTAATGAAGATTTGAAGGATTTTATAAGAATAAGATTACAAATGGATAAAAATTTGGGGTTTTTTTTTTTTTTTTTTAATTTCAAGTGAAATACATGTCTTGAATTGTGCATTTTGAGCGGAAGAGGATTTAAAATGATTTAATTAGTTCAGTTTGTAAAAATTGAGTTAAATAGAAAGAAATTAAATTCAAACAAAGAATTATTACAGGACAAAAAATTTATTTTAACCATAATATAAAAACAAAAACTAAAATTAAGATTAAATTTTAAACTCCTACAGTGCAACTTAAAATCACTTATGCAAAACATATTTGGTTACCTGAATCATATATTTAAGACATATAAGTACAAGTCTAATTTTGTGTTAGTAGCACTTCTATCCACACAAAAAGCAAAAGTCCCATGCACTTAAAAAGAAAAGAAAAGAGAGAGCAAAAATCCCAAAACAAACCTAAAGGGAAAGTATCAAATGGTTATTGCACATGCCAGATGGTGTAAGCTGTGTAGGTGTAAGTGCAAATAAAGCTCTTTTTATGCCACAAGTAGTTTCCAGAATCGATAGTGATACAAACAAAAACATTCTGAAAATGTTTTTAAATTGGCAAGATAGTGTTTTCATTTGACATAAATAAAAATAAGGGTTTCAACTTCTTCCTTTCACAAGAAAAGTTGATTTTGGAGCTGAGAGAGAAAAATAATAGGATCCATACTGTAAAAAAGAGAAGAAATAGTGCGAAAATTGAAGTGAGAGTGATATGGGAAGAACAATTTGCAGCAACATAAGAAGTATTTTTGTCATAAAAATAAAATAATAACCATAAATATTGTTTTTCACATTGAAATTTTACAGAAATTAGAATCATGATGCTTGTGTGTTGGACTAATCATTATCTATAAATACAATTCCAAAGAATGAACATTGACATATTCATGAACTACTTAATCAAAAATTAAAGAAACATGATTAATCTAATGCAAATCTTAGATTCGTTTTTCATATTTTGTTTTGTTTTATTTATCCTTCACCTTATATATAACCTTTTTCATCAGCTATGATAATCAGTCCAAAGGGGTCTTTGAACGTCAAGTCATATTACTTGTGGGGTCTCCATTGCACGTGCACCAAGGTGCCATATAGTGAGCCATGCCATGCAATCAAGTAGTCACTGCTTCTCTCTCAGATGGAAACACTGGGACCCGTTTCACCCATAAAGGAAAAGGGGTTTGAACTTTGAACACCCTTTCACCAAAATATGAAAAAAGAAACGTTGGTGGAGAAAGAGGTCTTACACCAGTACTACATTATTACTATTTTAGTAACCTATATTTGAAGGATAACGATAATATTTATATATTTTTTACCATTATTGTTGAAGGTACACCTTACAACTTTACCTAATTAGCTTCATTTTCTTTATGAAATTGTACATATAATTAGTTAATTGTAGTTTCATACAAGTTTAAAAAAGTTAAATAAAGTTCCTTTAATTCAAATTGAACTATGTGCAGACTGCTCAGCTTTGACTGAAAAGTTGCAATTGTAGATAGCATTATATTTCCATTTTGGTGATTAATAAAAGAGTTTTATTAATCTCATATTAAAAGAGATAAGTTATCTTATATATAAATTTGTGGGCTTCACTGCCTGAAAAAAAAAATGACACAGTTATTGAAAGATGTGTAGAAAAGAAAGTTATCACATGTAGCATAAGAGTAGTTTTTCCCTTAATAAAATCTATTCATTCTAAGTTTAAGACCTGAAATAATCTCAGTAGAAAAACAAAATTTATATTAACTGCATATCAGCTCTAGTATATATGTCAATCAAATTTTGATAAGAAAAAATATCTATTTTTTCCTATAAAAACGGGAGGGAAATAGACATTACATAGCCTATGTCCTTCATGATACAGCAATGATAGCAAAAACTAAAAAAGCACACAGCTTGGCTTGTTTATCAAGGGCACTTTGGGGGTTTTCTCAAGTGGGGAAGAATTCAAAATAGTGTGAGAACAGCTTTTGCTTTAAAAAGTTGGTTGCTTTTGGCTTGTTTATTAGAGGAACTGTCTGTGGAATGTGATTATTTGGAGACAAAATGAGTGATTGAGAATCAATAAAGCAAACCCAACTAGGATTAATATGACCAAAGAAAATAAAAGGAACAGTGAGGAGATGGGAGACATTATTGCCACAACAAAGATCTTACAAGGAGCAATTGCATCATCAATCTCAATCTCAATCCCTCGGGATTCTCTCTCTTTTTTTATCTTTTATAATTGAATAAAACCAAAGAAAGTGGAGTTTGGTGCTTAAAAGATAATGGCATAACTCAGGGACAGGGAATGTTTGGATTCTAATTTCTACAGGACAATGAGAGCTTAACAAATAAAAGTGATCCACTTTTGTTATTTCTCTCTCCTTATTACTAGCAGCTAAACTATCTGACCCACTTAGTTGATTTTCTGATTAAGCTCCATTAAACCAAACTTTTACAGTGCTAAACAGATAATACTTCACTTGCTCTTATTTATTTTTTAATATTGAAGGAATAGAATAAAACTCTTATTCTTTAGACCAATGCATGATTGAAGGAATTTTCTTTTTCAATCGTCTTTTGCATTTATCTAGAAAGAGGCTAATGGGGGGGTGACCCTTGGCTTTTATTATATATTATTTGATTTGCTTTGCTTTGCTTTCATTGTTGAACCATTAGCAGGCATGCTGACTCTCTTTCAAGTCTTTTTAATACTAGCTCTGATTCAAGTCTGACACAAGGGTGGGAGTGAGTGCAATTCTAGCTTGAAAGGAGGGAATGGTACTGGTTCCTCTTCTGATGTAAACATGACATGTAACACAAACAAACCAAGTTGAACTTGTTGGTGCTGAATATTTCTATACCTACTCTTTACTTGCCCCCTTAAGATAGAACTTGATCCAGCTTGTTCCGCTAACAAGTTTCTACTGATCCTTCAACCCAATGGAGAGGAGAGGAGATGTGGTTTTCTTTTGTTTAGCTTTGTTCTTCTTGTGGACTTCTGTAGCTGGTTTGCTTTCTCCAAAAGGTGTCAATTATGAAGGTGATTAGGAGCATTTTCATGATATTTTAGAGCACATGGATTTAAGGTCACCACTCCTAATAAATGTAAAGCTGATATATATCCATGTTCTGCATGCAGTTCAAGCTCTGATGGGCATTAAGTATTCTCTGGTGGATCCTCATTCTGTCTTAAGTAACTGGGATCCTGATGCTGTGGATCCCTGCAGCTGGACTATGGTCACTTGTTCTCCTGATCATTTTGTGATTGCCCTGTAAGTCAAACTGGAACAAACTAAAATATACCAACAAGTATTTATTTGTCTTAGTTCTTGTTCTTCTTGTTAAGATTCTACTTCTTAATTCCTATTTCAGCCATTCCCTTTTTTTCTTCTTCTTCTTTTCAGTGGGATTCCTAGCCAGAATATGTCTGGTACTCTTTCATCAAGCATAGGCAACTTAACAAACCTCCAGACTGTGTGAGTAACCAGCTATGGTAAAAGAAAGCATGGTATATAAGTTTTCTTATGGTTATCTTATTAGGAATTTTACAGGCTCCTGCAGGATAATAATATATCAGGACCAATCCCCTCTGAGATTGGGAGGCTCCAAAAGCTTCAAACTCTTGATCTTTCTGACAATTTCTTCATTGGTCAACTTCCAGATTCCCTGTCCCATATGAAGGGTCTACATTATTTGTAAGCCTTCGATGCTATACATTCCTCTATTGGCTTTATAGAAAAACATGTGTTAATTAGCCAGTTTGAAGGGATAAATAACATATAAGCCAATATAAAATATTCCAAAAGCTTCAAGATCTGATAATAGGAATTTGAATTGCAATCAGGCGGCTAAACAATAACAGTCTCTCTGGAGTAATTCCTTCCTCTTTAGCTAACATGACCCAGCTTGCCTTTCTGTAAGTCTCTCCAGGCCTTTTATTATTATTATTTTCTGCTTCTTTTCTTCCTCATCTATTTGATTTCTGATCAATAATTTGTCTTTTTCTGAATTTTGCTTAGGGATATCTCTTATAATAACTTGAGTGGACCTGTACCTAGATTAAATGCAAAAACATTCAAGTAAGGTGTTTGGTCTTTATTTTATTATTTTTTTCTTCAATATTTTCTGTGTTTTCCTCATGTAAGTTAAAAAATCTAAATTCTGTTTATATGTTATTAAATAGTTGTATGGTTTCCTTCTCTTGAAACAGTATTGTAGGCAATCCCCAGATATGTGCCACGGGAGTTGATCAAAACTGCTTTAGAACAACACTTATTTCTTCTGCCGTGAATAATTCTCAAGGTAATCATAGTTCTTACATGTTGCAGATTGGTGTATGCTTCTCGAACCTCATGATGTTTGCATCTAAAGTTTTGCTTCTTAACTGTCACACAATGATTTCATTTTGACTACAAGTTCATTATTGACCATGTCTAAACTTTTTTAGTTCAATACTACTGTTTTTGGGTGCAAATATATTTTTTAAATCACTGTTCAAAACAATGAATTTATAAGTTGTCTTAACATATTTATAATCATTACTTCAATCATTCTCCACCCCTGTATCTATTTGTTTGTTTGCAATTACCTCTATACCCTAACATAGTTGCCTTAAATGCTTCTCAAGATTCACAATCCTCCAATAGACCAAAGAGCCACAAAGTTTCCTTAGCGTTTGCTTCAAGCCTAAGCTGCATCTGCTTACTAATTCTGGGGTTTGGCTTCCTCCTCTGGTGGAGACAAAGATATAACAAGCAAATATTCTTTGACGTTAATGGTTAGTCAAACTCAATCATAAACACAAGCATAGGCCAACTGGGTAGGCATATAATTTTAATCTCCTGTCTCTAACTCCCTTTTCCAAAACTTTCAGAACAACACCGTGAAGAGGTTTGCCTTGGAAACCTGAAGAAGTTCCATTTCAGAGAGCTTCAGCTTGCTACAAATAACTTCAGCAGCAAGAACTTAATTGGCAAAGGTGGTTTTGGAAATGTCTACAAAGGTTATCTCCCAGATGGTACGGTTATAGCAGTTAAAAGGCTTAAAGATGGTAATGCCATTGGAGGTGATACCCAATTCCAGACTGAAGTTGAAATGATCAGCTTAGCTGTCCATAGGAATCTTCTTCGGCTCTATGGATTTTGCATGACAGCTTCAGAGAGGCTCTTGGTTTATCCCTACATGTCAAATGGTAGTGTAGCTTTCCGTCTAAAAGGTAATGGCAATCCTGTACCACTAATATATATATAACTATAACTAACTTTATTGAGAGATTAAGGGTTCAAATCCAGAAAATAGTCTCTTTGCAAATATGCAAGTTAAAAAGACTGTGTCCTAGTATTTCCCTCATTCCAAACTGCATACAAGTATATATAACTAACTAACTTTATTGAGTGTCCAAATATAACTTTTGGTTTATGCTTGTATGGAGTACGAGTACTCATTTACTTTTTGATTATACAGCCAAGCCAGCTTTGGACTGGGCTACAAGGAAGAGGATAGCTCTAGGAGCAGGAAGAGGCTTGCTATATTTGCATGAGCAGTGTGACCCCAAGATTATTCATAGGGATGTTAAGGCTGCAAATATCTTGCTTGATGATTATTGTGAGGCTGTGGTAGGAGATTTTGGGTTGGCAAAGCTGTTGGATCACCGGGATTCACATGTGACAACAGCAGTGAGAGGCACTGTAGGGCATATAGCCCCAGAGTATCTCTCAACAGGCCAATCCTCTGAGAAAACAGATGTATTTGGGTTTGGAATTCTTCTACTTGAATTGATATCTGGCCAAAGAGCTCTTGAATTTGGGAAAGCAGCAAACCAGAAAGGAGTCATGCTTGATTGGGTGAGCTAAACAGAATAGGATAGGTTCCTTATCAACATTAACATCATCTTTATCACAAAACTAAATGTATTCACTATCACTGTAATTGCAGGTGAAGAAAATCCATCTAGAGAAGAAAATTGACTTGCTAGTTGATAAAGACCTGAAAAACAACTATGATAGGATTGAACTTGATGAGATTGTTCAAGTAGCTCTCTTATGTACTCAATACCTTCCAAGCCACAGACCCAAGATGTCTGAAGTAGTTAGGATGCTTGAAGGAGATGGGCTTGCAGAGAAATGGGAAGCCTCACAGAGAGCTGAATCAACAAGAAGTAGAGGGAATGAACTTTCCTCTTCAGAGCGCTATTCTGATCTTACTGATGACTCTTCATTACTTGCCCAAGCAATGGAACTTTCTGGACCAAGATGATATTGAAAGTTGGTATAGAGTGGAACAAAGTAACTTCAAATGCAATTACTTGAGTTCAAAGTGAATTTGCTGTACATTAGCATCAGAGTTATGCTAGTTTCTGACTGTAAACAATCTGATTGATCCACTGACATATATATATGAGTGTTATATGTTCTTCTCCATTCATGGGGTGAAGAACTGTTACAATAACGTTCATAAACTAGATTGTACTGAAAGCTGTTAATAGTATTTTGGGCCTCGAGAGTTTCACCAGTAATTAATTGCTTAATTTACTTTTCTGTTCTACATTAAATTCTAACAGATTTTCAGTATATGGCAAGGCATAGAGACAAAAAAATTATCAAATGTTCGATCATTTAAACATATATGTCCTTGGTCTGCGCAGAAATTTATGTTATTTGTTTAGAAAAATATAAAAATAATTTTTTTTGAGCAAACCACACAACATGTTTTATTGGAACTGAAGCAAATGGGATTGCCGAGAAAAGGGAAGCCTCGGAGAGAATTGAAGCAGACGACAAAAAATTCTTTTCTTCAGAGAGCTATTATGTTGTTACAGAAGTAATGGAACTTTCACAGTAACCGACCCCGAAAGTTTAAGTAGTGAGAGCATGGATTAATTCATAAAAAAGATTCCCATATTATCAAATATAACAGGAATTTTTACCAAGCAAGCGCACTTGTTATGCAACATATATGTCTTCCAATTCGATCATGCATATAAATTTGTAATTTTTCTTGAGAATTTACAAGTTGTCTCATAGGTAATACATGTATTTCAAAAGAAGGTTCATAACCGTACGATAATAGTAACCAAAACAGAAGGAACATCGGAAATGATAGAAAGGATAGAAAAGAATGTGCATTTGATAACATAGTCCACAGTTTTACTCGTCGGCGAAAGCAATTTCTGCCCTCGTAGAAGCTCTTCGAAATTTGACCAATTCGAGCAACATTTTCAATTCAATTTCCGGATCAAATATACAAGGAGAGAAACTCAATGTCTCAAGCACGGGTGAACAGCCAAGCAAAAATTTGACAAATGCCAACTCAGGAGGCACACCAGTCATTTCTGTCAACTTCACAACCTTAAGATGGCTAAGTGTAGGATCTGAAGGGCATTCTTTTTCCCAAAAATCAAAATCCGGGGTATCAGTAGCAGTTGTTGTGTTTGATGAAGCCTGCCAAAGTCAATTTCATAAAATATGCAGAAATAAATCTTAAATATTTAATTACAGGCCTGATCTGTAAAAATTAATAACAGAACCATTTATCATCACTTTGTAAAAACTGGGGGAAAATTCTCTCTTTTTAAGATGAGTAAGGACTTACTGAAATGTGAAGTTCCTTTAAATTGGGAGAGCTTGTAATCAAGCGAAGGACAACCAGTATCTCTTTCATATCCTCAAAATTTACTTCATATAATTCAACGGTCTTCAAATTGTTGTACATTATTGGAAGATGCCATGGATCATTACCTATGCTCAAATACTTCAAGAATGAACAGAAATGAATAAGAAAGAGGTTGGCTATATATAATAACAAAAAAACCTCCCTTTGTTGCTAACAATGATGATTCATGAAACTATTTGCAAATGGAGGATGAACTAAATAAATAGATAATAACAGAATGTTACCTTCGTGAAGTAGATACGTCCAACAAGGCTCTCAAGATTTGGCACACCACCAAGAAACTTGACAAAATTGCAATTTGAGCTTTGCTCAAAGTGCTCAAAGAGTTCAGCAATGTCATCAGGCATATACATAGAAACGGATATTTCAACCAGAAGCGGAGAATCTCCAAGATATATATCCTTGAATTCACCTTCAAGATACAAGTACTTGAGGTTTGGAGCACGGATTTTAAGAGCTAAACTATCGAAGTATGAGAGTGATAAACTCTCCAAGAGAGGGCTACTAGAAATGAGGCTCTCTAATGCATCAGGGAATATCAAAACTTGATGAAGGTTGAGGCTCTTCAAACACCCAAATCCCTTAAAATTAAGAGGCGGATCCAACTCGCAGCGGGAAAGCTCCATGCGAGTCAGTTTCTTACAACTGAAAAAGCATGAAGGTATTCTAAAGAATTCACCTTCTCCTAATTCAAGAACCAATTCTTTAAGATCATTCCTTGAAAGGAAAAGAATCCACTGATCTATTTCAGGGCAACTCTGCAAGTCCAAATTCTTAATATGGAACTTATGAATTGGTCCTTGGTGAAGAAATAGCAGCCTGGTGATAAACTTAACAATACTTTTCTCAACAACATCTCGGTCATTACACAAAGGGACACATTTTTCATCAAACACAAGTTGAGTGATGGAAGCCCATTTGTACCTCCATTTTCTTGATAAAATGCTAGTTTTCACAGCATCTCTTATTGGAAGTTGATTCAGAATGCTCTCGATAATGCTTTGAGGAAGGTCACTGATTAAGTCAGTACCCAAAACATCGCCCATTTTTATGCTTCAGCTAATACACAACAAAAGGAAAAAAATTCAAACAATCAAACAAGAACCCAAAAGAACTCAACTAGTAAACAATTCTACCCCACAAATCAAATAACCCATTTAAGAAATATATATATATATATATATAGAAATAGAAGAATCACAAGCAAAAAGTTTATATATCGCTAACCCTTCTTTTATATTGTAGTAAAACCTAGGATATCAGATTCAAAACGATGAAATATTAACCATTTTATATTAAAGTGAAATTTTTTCGCCCCCATAAAAAAACACAGGTTTAAAGAACTAACAAGCTAGCACTAAGAAAGAATCCGTTAACATGTACCCAAACAAAACCCCATTAACGAGATTTGAAGCACATTGCAGATGAATGAAGACAGACCCAAATAACCAAGAATTGGATCTCGTATTGAAAAAAAAAAAAAAAACACGGAATTGGATTCCTATGAAAAAGGAGAGGGAGAGAATTGTACCAAAGAACGAAACTTCGGAGCAACAATTTCTGATTTTCTTGGTCTAACATCGACTATGGAAGCTCTTTCTCTATCTTCTTCCCTGATCGGTGGGATAGCGATTGGGAGAGAGAGAAGAGAGAAAGAAACAGAGAGAGAGAGAGAGAGAAGTTGGGGAAAAGTAAAAGAGGAACAAACACTCTAACGTCTAACCAGAGAAGTAAACAGTAATACAAAGCAAATTTACTGTCTTATTATTTACACATCCATTAATTATTATTTTTTATCCAATGATTTTTTTTTTTTTTTTTGTAAAATTAATAATAATAATAATAATAATAATAATTAAGGACTATTGTAGCTTAGCTTTTTCCCCTCTCTTTTCAGCTACATTTTGAATTGTTTCTTTAGTTTTAAAATGATGATTATTTTTAAAGTATTTTTTACCAAAAAAATTATTATTATTATTATTATTATTATTATTAATTTTATAAAAAATTACAATTAACATTCTTGTTTTGATCCAAACATAAATATATTTTATTAAATTATTACGTTTATTTTATTATCTTTTTATTTTTATGATGAGAAAAATAGAAAATAAGTCGTGCAAAACTTCAATTTGTATTTTGTAGCATGGCCTGAGCTGGTAGCATTCCAGTTAGAGCTATAAGAACAACTCAACTCTGAACATAAGGGAGGAGACACAACCTGACTCGCTGCTTCTGAAATTATACCCAAATTTTTTTTAGGTTACGTGCCAATCTCTAAAGCATCGATAAGCAATTTTTTTTTGCCGTCGGATACTGACATATTCTGACACGCGGTTAATATTTTGGATATCTGATCAATGCTCCAACACGTTTTTCTGACACACAGTCAACTTTTTTAACACACGATCAACGCTCCGACACACATTCTACACTTTTTTTTTTTACTTCTTAATTTTATTTTATTAAGTAAAAATAAAAAATAATTTATAAATCAATTTTTTTCTGTTATGAAATTTACATGAAAAATTAACAAGATACGAAAAATTATTTTTGTTTATTTTTATGTTATGAAATTTGAATATTTGATTGGTTATATTACTTATTATGAGCTGTTATATGTATTAAATATAAATTATATTATATATATTAAAAATATTATTTAATATCAAAACGTGTCCCAACGTGTCAAAATATAATATTTTTAAAATTAACGTATTGACGTGTCGTGTCTTATCGTATCCTGTGTTCCGTGTCAATGCATAGGTAGCAATTGTAATTGAGACCAACCTAGCTGAGTATTTTGTACTACTTTAAAACATAAATATAACTTGAAAATTGAAGATAAAATATGAAATTTTTTATATTAAATAATGCTTTATATATAACTTACAATATCTATTTGATGACATGTTTTGTTTTGTCGTTGTGTTCTTATTTGATATGTTTTGCCATTGTAATTTTTTTGCCATAGTCCCTTAGTTTCATTACTCACGGTGCTTTCTAATTTGGAATGGGATGAGCCGAGTTGATCAAGTGTAAATGTTTGCTCATACTCTTTTGCACATACAAATGAATAATTTTAGGGAAAAACTATTCTCATGTCATATAAGACAAGTTTTCTCTCTTATACACCTTTCGATAATTGTGTCATTTTTTTCTTTTATTTTATTTTATTTTTTAAGGTGATGAAGTCCACTAATTTGTCTCTATGACATGAGATAACTCTCTCCTTTAACATGAGATTAATAAAACCCATAATTTTAATGCTGTAAGCAAGTGGAATCTTCTTTAAAAATGGTTGGTATATTTGTTATTAATATGAGGATCATAAATTTTAGTTTTAAAATTTTTTGAAAGTCAACCGTACCACCACTATCATCTCCAACTATTGCCACAATCATGGGAGTTGAAAGTTGAAACACTATAGAACAAATTATGAGATGATAACCACTAAGTCACTTCATCATGTTAATATTTTGCTTATTTTATTTCACTTTATTATATATTATTTCATTAATTCACCCGTTAAATCAATGATTCATTAACCTAATACTTTGATCAAGTTAATCATCGGCTCAAGTTTAATAACACTAGTTGCAAGTGACTATGAATTTTTTTTTCATGTTAATGTTATTCAACTTTTTTTTTTGGTGTGTGTTATATACATAATCATTCTAATATTTATTTGGTGAAGATAGAAAAATTTATTTTGTAGAATTGTGTAAGTTATTCTATATATTTTATTTTAAAATTATGATTTTTAGAATCTTTTAAATAATTTAAAATAGGAATGAATGTATAAATCAATAAAAAAGGAAAAAGTCATTTAAAAATCAATTTTAAAAAAATTATATGATTTTATGTTTATAATATAATTTTATCTATTTATATCATTTTTTTAATGTTATCTATCGACTCATCGATTACTCGATTAGTCTGATTTGAGCCTGATAGAATGGTAGGACCACATGGCTAGTGAAGCTCCCCATACCAAGTTTTAACACAATTGCGTTCCCAAGTACTCAAACTCGAGACCACTAGTTGAGTTGAAACAATCCCTTATCAGTTGATCTACATACTTCGTGGTCTATTATATCATTTTTTAACATTATGGTTCCATTCCATGTGATTTACATTAAACATATAATAGGATAACATAATCTGGTTTTTTTTACCCTTGTAGGGAAAAAAATGAAACATACCACTTTAGCTCTTTTGGAAAACTATTTTGTTCAACTAATGTAGTCAAACACGCAAAGGGTATATGCGCATTTAAGTCTTGCATTACCCCCATGCGCGATTGGTGTAAAACCCAAAAAAGTGTTTGCTACGTGTCACATTCTGCAAGACGCGCATCAGAAGCATGCACGACTTGAACACACATGAATAGTATGGGTATTTTGCATTGTGCAAGACACGCATCAGGGGCGTGCGCGACTTGAACGCGCATAACCAGGATGCGCGCTTACAGAGTGTATCATGTAGCAGACATTTTTTGGGTTTTCCTCTTGCGTGACTTAAACGTGCATATACCCCATGTGCGTCTGACTGTATTAGTTGGGCAAATAGTTTGCCGAAAGAACTAAAATAGTGATATGTTTTGTTTTTTTTTGCAGTACAAGGGTCAAAAAGCCTATAATCGTGCCATATTAAAAATTTTGTTATTTAGTGTATATCAAACCCAAAATAGAATGAGTTTTATACAGACCATATCCTTTTCTATTTATCCAAACCTTCCTTGATCTATCGTGTCACCAAACGAACCCTAAATAGAGTCTAGTTTGGATCACTGCATGCTATACGAAACTGAGTTTAATTTCAACACACTTAAACTTTCTTGTGGAATTCATAATTAAAGATCTTTCACTTATTTTCCTTAATTTGTTTGTTGTATGATTGTAAAAATGCTTGAATCTTTATTCACTTACATCTTTCCATGTCTAGAAAATCTTGCTATACCCATGTGATGTTTGCAAGAATTGTCGCCTACTGTCAGATGAAAACCTATAAAAGTTAAGATGGAAGCACTATATATACACCTGATCCGAAATTGGAAGATTCGTTGATTTTGTGCTTTTTGTGGGTTATGGAGTTCATAATTGGAGATTGTGAATGACATGTTAATTAAATTTTATGAGTGGCGTAATTGTTAACTGTGTTGTACCAATAGTTGACCTGCTTGTTCAACTATTGAATTGAAAGTTGAGGCATTAGGACGGCATCTTAAACACTACTCAGTCTGATGAACTACTTCTAAACATATCCATGTTCATAACGAACAAATGTTTTAATTGAGCAAGGGCCAGAACACACATATAGGGTCTTTGTGGTTTCAATCACTGTAAGGCCATCTGAATTTCCTGTGGATTTCTACAGAAAAGTGTTGATGGGGGTGCGAAGATGTAGCTCTTATACTAATCTAAGAGGTAATCCAGACATAGAACAGAAGAGGTGAGCTTTTGTAAAAGGAAAGGTTTGTACGGCTAGACTTTTATGTAAATTTAAGAAAGTTAGCAATTTTTTTTATAATAATCGAGTGAATTTAGCATGACCCATATGTACCGGGGAAAATTACTTAGTAATTTATCATCATATGCAATTATAACAACTTTTCTCGCTGGAACAACCCAAGTAGATATTTGGTTTTTTAAAATCTGAATTTTGAAATATTATATGAAGAATTAGTTCTGAACCAGTTTAAGGTTAAAAATCATTTCTTAATTAGTTTTGAACCAATTTTGATATGGTTCTAAACCAATTTTAACATACAACAATTACAAAACAATCAACCAAATATCAAAATCGGTTAAAAAAAAAAAGTTCAGCTCCGAAAACCAAATCATATTATTAGATTGGTTCGGTTTGGTTTAGTTTCCTATGATGAACCGAACATGCCCACACCTAATGACATCTAAATTTATCTAATGATGGTAACTTACTTAATGCAATAGAGCTGAATGGGTGGAGAAATACTTCAATCCTCACCAATGCCATCTTGGGATTACCGTGGGGTGAAAAAATATGACATCTAAATTTATACATTTCATCAAAATTTTAGTCAAAACTTAATTTTAAGTGAATTCATGATCGGGCCAAAACCAAGCCTCAAACTTAACCCAACCAAAATATTAGACCAAGAGCATAATTAATCCTATTCATTAACACCACTCAACATATTTGTCCATTCCTAAAGTATTTTTTTTTTTGTAGCTAAAGAAAAGGAATTTCATATAATACTCCAACTTTAAAATGGGTGTAATACTATTTTTTTTTTTTTGATAACAGGGTGTAATACTATTTTGTTTGGTGCAGTTAAATGAGAAACATTTCTTCAATGGAGCTAGAGCAAAACCCAACACCGAAACCCCTTTCAGGAAAACAAAACAAAACAATCCAGGACACAAAGGGAATGGACATATAGATTGTGTAACAACTTATAATGCAGTATTATATCTAACACCAGACCCTTCCAAATTTTGTGAATGAATGCTAAAAAAGCTTAAGGTAATAAATACTTTTGTTATTATTTATTATTATTTTTTACTTCCTACTTATTTCTTTTTATTTTAGAATTTTATAATTACAACTCTAAAAGAGCAATATATTTTGAAAAAACAAAAATATAATACAACCTAACACAGTTTAACAAGTTAATATTTTGAATTCCATAAGTCCATTACACAAGTAT